AATCAACTTTTAGCTCTCATTTATTTATTTAAATAGGTCCTGCTTTTTAACTAACAGTTCTTATTTCTTCCTGCTTAACTTACATTGTAGCCTGGGGATTTTGAGAACCGAGTGGTCAGTCTACTGAAAATGTCCCTTGATCCTTTTGCATGCTAATTCACTCCTTAATAAGGTGTATTTCAAAACCTGCACCCATTTCTTTCATATGTCACAGAATCGGAAAGAATTGACTCAGGACAGAAGCAAGACGCATGAGAAAATCTCTGTGTAATTATCAAGCTTTCCATTTATTTTTGGCTAAATCAATAGTTCATGAAAATTACCATTTGTCAAGACGTTAGTTAAAGCCCTATCCCTCGGGGGAGGTGGGTCCCGGGAGAAATAATAGAACAAAGAAAAGTCCAGATACTTGGTGAAAGGTCCCCCACCTGGTCTCAAAGTAAAACAAACCCTCGCTATTTGTAGTTGAGGCCCCTGTACGTTCAGAAAACATTTGTCCTTCGAGGTTCCTGACAACAGCAAGCCTTTGTAAAGTTTAGGATTACATTTCTTGATACGTGTTCCTGAGAACAAGGAATATTACTGGATAGGGCATGGGTAATGGGAGTCCGTGGTCGAAAAGCCTTGGAAAACATTGGATTAAGCAAAATTTAACTGGTATCTTTACTGAAAAGTCATTTCAGAGACTGTAACATGCTAATGTTTATAAGGAATGCTCAAGAGAGGGTAGTCTTTCAAATTTATTCTATCGCAGAATACTTTGCTATGGAACATTTCCCAGTATTAGGGCTATATCTGGGGAAACTCTGGCCTCTTCCAACATTAGAAATGGCAAGCAAAGAGTTGAGCATCCACTCAGAGTAAGACCTAGTAGGAGCAGCTCCAGCACCCAGCACAATGTCTGGCCTTCAGGGGATATCACTAGTCTCTCTCTCTCATCATCCTTTCTTGTCCAAACTACAAAGACTAATATTGATCACCAACAGTGGTAAGAACACTTTTTAATATTGTCTTGTAATTCTGTTTATTTTGTTTCTCGGTCTGGAACTACCACCATGCTCATCTCCATCTGCAAAACTCTTACTCCTTCTACAAGGTCCTTCTTAAATTCCACTTACTTTGGGAATTCTTGGTGATCTTTCTATTTTATTGGAACTCTTAATGACTCACAGGATAGCCACTAATACATATTAATCAACATGTCACCTGAGATTGAGAAAACCATTTTCCCCCCCCCCCCACATGAGATGAGTAAGGATCATAATGATCAAAATAGTCACTGGGACCTCTTGTCAAGTCTGCTTCATCCTTTGGTGAGAACGGTCTTGTGTCCAACGCTGTATCTTCAGTTCTGACAGTGACTTGATTCACCTTCAACTCCCACTTGGCCATTTGACTGCTACCTACTCAGCTCCATTTCTCCAATCCTACTCGCGGGTCCCCAAGTCCATTTAGAGCATTCACCAGCATGCCCAACTGCAAAGATAGATGAAAAAAACTGACTAGCAAACACACACCAGGCCAGCTGGAGAAGGACCCATTCAGTGGCGATACTTGGAACGGCTTCTGAGTATTCTTTCATCTGCGACATCTGCCCTATCACAGATTTTATGTTTCTTTGTAGGATATTTTAGATTTTCTCTATTTGTACCCTCTGCTGACATTACAGTTTGGGATTTTATGATTTCATGGCTCACATCTAACTCTGGACTCTCCACTGGGTTGTCTACATCCAAGCTTTTCTAACCAATCCAGCATTCAGCTCGCAGAGGAATTTTCTAAAACGTTACCTTCACTCTTCCTGGACTGAGCACAAGAAATCAGCCGCTCGAATTTGAAGTCTGAAGATCGCAGACCCTAACATTTTTGTCTCTTAAGTTAAAAGAGAGAGCACTGAAACACTTCTTTAGGGCTGAAATAGGTATAAATGAAGATTTGGTCACAGGGCATTTACTCAACATTTATTGTCTGTGTCTTGCAGCAGACACCTTAGTGCTTATTCCTTGTGACCTAAAATATCATGTCCCCCCACCCCAGCCAATTCCTTAAGACCCATGTTGAAATCCAGCCCCTCCACCAAATCTCCCTCCTTATTTCTAGCTGATTATCAGGACTCCTGCTTTCTTCTCTAGTCTTGTTGTTGTGCTAATTCTAGTCCCCCCAGTGCCTCCCCCAGGCCAGCCCACACTTGGTTCACACTGAACACAAGCGGTTTACACTGCCCTATGCTCCCTCCCATCTCTTGGCTTCTATGTGGTGCTCTCTCAGACTGGGATGCCCAGCCCCCAATCCTCTAGGTTCATTAGTTCATCAACAGATCTTCACCAGGCATCTCCTTGCACCAAGTAATACGCTAGATGTTCCAGGTGTGCTACTGAGGAGTGGTTCCCGGCTCCTTGGAGTACTCAGCTTCTAACGGGGAAACACAGACATAACCACACACCTGTAACATTGCAAACCCTCATCAAGTCTGTAAGGAAACTGCCGGGAACTTTGAGAATCTGTACCAGGAGACATGATCAAACCAGGGACAGGGGATGCGGAGGGAAGGCATCCTTAAAGATGTGTACAGCTGACATCTGAGGGATGAAGAGGGTGTACATTCTAGGTCGAAACACCATGTGCTTTGGGACAGGAAGGGACAGGGCACATCCCGGAGCTGGATGTGAATCCGGTGAGTGGGCAGCACACCTGTGTTCAGTTGAACACAATGTGATTTTGCATTCTAAAGAGTGTGTGTACGTTTTGTCTCATTAAGATCATAAGCTCCTAAAACAAGGGATGGGGCAGCGGAGCGCCATAGCGTTGTTCCCGAGACATGTCAGTCTTCCGGGGGGAGGGTGGCGGTATGAAAGGTCCAGTGAAGCACCCAAAATTCTTTGAGGAGAACCATTCATGAATCCATGCACATCAACACCAGACACTCCTCTCACCAAAAACAAATCCTCATTCGTGCCGTCCAACATGGGAGCCCCTAGCTCTTGTGGTTACTGAACATTTGACATGTGGCTCGTCCCCATAAAGCAGTGCTGAAAGTGTAAAACACGTACTGGATTTTGAAGACTTGGTATGAAAAGAAAACATAAATGACCTCAGTAATTTTTATATTGACTACATGGTAAAATCACATTTTTAGGTATGTTGGCTATATTAGTAAAATTAATTTCACCTGCTTTCTACCGTTTTTAAGGTGGCTGCTAGACATTTTAAATGACTTATGAGGCTTGTGTTCATGGCTTCTATTTTATTTCTAATGTACAGAGCTGCCCTAGAGCTAGATATGGTGTGAGTGGTCCTTAGAACCCTGTCTCCTACATAGTGTGGGTGTTTAATACCCACATAAAGGAAATACCTGTGCTGGGAACGTGAAAGCAAAACGCATGATATCCTACCATGTTGGAGCTAGAAGGGAACTTGGCGACCACCATTTTCCAGATGGGAAAACCCAAGCATGTTTGTAAACATTTATGGGATTGTGTATACTTTCAGAATAACTTTAAAACTGCCTCTTTTTTTTTTTTTGGTCTCACTTTTGCAAGTCAGACTGAAATACCAAGAGACAAACTAGAATATATTAAAGCTCAAGTTAGTATTAAACCTCAACTAGATTTTTGATGTCCAATTTTAGGACACAAGAGGCATTAAAGCTTGGCAGGACTTACTGTTCATCCTTGTACAAGGCCATTGCTCTGTGGCAGTGGAACCTAACAAGCTCTTCACTAGTTTACAGAATAGGTTGGGACTGGCACTTCATAAACAGAAAATCACGTCCAGTCCTGGGTATTTATCCAACCGGCACAAACACAGCGATTCCACCCAGGCACCGAGTCAGAACCACCAGGTCCCCTTTGGAAGGTTAAAAAGGACTTCAATTCCACGTCAGATAGAGCACAGGAAGCAGAAGTTTCCCCTGTGAGTTTCCTGCATCCCTAGCTCTGCTGCCGCTGCCAGCCCTCGTCAGCACCCGCAGTGCGCCCCGATAGCAGCCTGCACAGCCTGCAAGGGTGGGTACGAGGAGGTCAGGCTACCGCCCACATTGCGGGGCGTCCTGCCGAGACGAGGAAGCCAAGAAATCAGGAACAAATCGGACTGGAATTAAAAACCACCTCATGCAGGTTCCACGGGCCACCTCCCTCCATTAAACAGCAAGGCGACTTGTATCCCTTCCTGACCTGCTCTCCGAGGAGCGCAGGGAGAGGATATAGGGTCGGGGGAGGCAAGAGAAAGAGGAAACCGCTTAGGAAAGGACATATAACTCCTTTAGCTTGGCGAGCGGGTGCGCGCGCGCGCGCGCGCACACACACACCAGTGTAAGCAACACTAAAAAAATCCCTCAAAAACCGGGCATACGGATTTGGAATCGTAGCTGATATAATTTTTTAAATCTTAATTTCTCTCCTTATTTATTGGCTCATTTCCTAAGTTGCTCCTTTCCAGGTCCTGGGGGACTCTGATCATCCTAAACGAATACAAATCAAATGAAAAAACAAAAAACACCAAAAACTGCTGCGGGGAGAAAAGGCTTTGCTCCGGAGCCGGCAGTGGACAGCAGAGTAGGTGGAAGGCGAAGCCGCAGCGGAGGAATTCGGTTAGTCCATGACAAATGGGGGCGTGGCGCGCGGCTCGGTCCCGGGAACCTCCGCCAACAAAACTTCTAAAGGTTCGCGGAGGGGGCGGGGCAGAGCGGGGGAAGGATGTAGCGACTCCGGAGGGAGGGAACCGGGGCCCTCGGAGGGGTCAGGGCTGCGAAGGGCAGAGCGGCGTCGCAGAGGTTTGGGAACCCCTGATCCAGCGAGCGGCTGGCTGGGTGGAAGTCAGGCCCCCGGGGATCCGGCTGCCCTGGCTGTCAGACGCCCCAGGAGCCGCCGCAGACCCGGCAGCGCTCCGAGGGGGCGAGGCCGCCGGCTGTGGTTGGCGGGGAGGGGTGGGCGGAGTGGGGAAGGGGCGTCGCCCCTGTCGCCCCCGCCCTCTCCGATGTCATTGGGCGGCCGCCTCGGGGTCCGCGCCACCGTTTCTCCGTCGCACCCCGTCCTCCCCGCTGCGCTCGTTCGGGGGCCGGTCCGGTCTTGGCCGTTGACGTCACCTCTAAGTTTGCTGCCCTCGGAGCCCCACGTGTGGCTGCAGCGACGGCCCGGGAGGCGGCGAGCGCAGTGGCCACGGCTGCTGACAGGTCCCGTGCAGCCCGGCTCGTCCACGCCGCTCCCAGGTGGGGCCCGAGAGCCGCCGGAGCGGCTGGGCGCGCACCAAGAGGGCCGGAAGGCTCGGCGCGGGTCCTCTGGCTCCCGCTCGGGTAGAGGGACTCGGGGGACCTCGCCCCGGGGCCGAGAGCGCGCGCCCAGGCGGGCCGGGGACCGAGGAAGCGGTGGCTGGGAGGCACAGTCCCCGCCGCGGTCTGCAGCGCACGGAGCTCAGCGGCCCCGGAGCCGCACGTCCCCTCACCGGGACCGAGCGAGGGATGCACGATCGCTGAGCTGGGACTCCCGCCGAGAGGCCGTTTCGGCCCGGGTCTGAGACGCACGCCTTCGCCACCGCCGCCGACACCCCCATTCCGGCGACTCTCGGGGACCGGGGGCGCCGAGCGCGGCCCCGGGCTCAGGACTTGGGCGATTCTCAGACGATGGTTTCTTAAGCACGGCACCACGTCCCCCTTCCCGCCCCCTCGACCGGAGGCTGGGATCCAGCGCGGGGCTCCGGGGGCTCCGTCTCCCCGAGGAGCCTCGGCTGCCGCCGCCCGGGCAGCTCGCACGGCCGCAGGGGCGCAGGGCGATGTGGCCTCCGGCCGGCGCGCCGGCCCCCCCGGAGGATGCCACGGCACCTGGCGAAGTCCCGGCCTAGCATGGCCCGCGCGCTGCCCGACGTCGCCTCCGGCTAGGATGGCCCCTCCGGCCCCGGCCGGCTCCCACCCCATCTCGACCGAGCCGCTGTCTCGCAGCATCTTCCGGAAGTTCTTGCTGATGCTCTGCTCCCTGCTCACGTCCCTCTACGTCTTCTACTGCCTGGCCGAGCGCTGCCAGACCGTGTCGGGCCCCGTCGTGGGGCGGTCGGGCGGTGGCAAGGAGGCGGGGGCCCCGGGTCGCGGCGTCCTGGCGGGAGGCGCGGGGGAGCCGGTGGCGTGGCCCGCGGTCGCGCGAAGGAAGCGCCTCCTGCAAGTGCAGCCGTGGCCGAGGCGCCGGCCGCCCGCGCTGCGGGACGACGGCGAGGTGGCGGCCTGGGAAGAGGAGCCCCCTGGCCTGGCGGGGAGTCCCGGCGGCTCCGGGGCCGGGAGCAGTGTGGCCGAGACGCCGCCGGGGACCCTGGCCCTGCTGCTGGGCGAAGGGAGCAAGCAGCTGCCGCAGGCCATCATCATCGGCGTGAAGAAGGGCGGCACGCGGGCGCTGCTCGAGTTCCTGCGCGTGCACCCCGACGTGCGCGCCGTGGGCGCCGAGCCCCACTTCTTCGACCGCAGCTACGACAAGGGCCTCGCCTGGTACCGGTGAGCTGGGGCCGGACAAGGCGGGCAGGCGGGGGCGGCCAGAGCCCGGGGTAGGGGCTTGAGGAGCCCGTGGTGACGCCCACCCAGTTCATCGCCCTCCCCGGTTTCATGCAGAGGGCAGAGGGTCATCGGTAGTTGTCCTTAAGATGAGGGGTCTCCTTCCCCACCCTGCCTTCTCCCGGGGAAGAGGGAGCGGGTCGGAGGGAAATTTTGGCCTTGCAGATGTTGTCTTTAGTTCTTGGAATTCCCTTTTCCCCAAATAGCCAATCTCATCATTTTCTCCTGCTTTGTGAAAGTTTCCCTGTGCGTAGCTAAAGAGAGAAAAAAAAGAAACATGTAGAAACCTGTTCACCAATTACTAGATACGTGACCTAGTGGATCCCTTTCCCAAGGAAGCCTGTTTTTATTTCTTCTTCATCTTCTGGGCGATTCCCTGCGGTTAACGCAGCCTTTGCCATCGCCAGTTTATTTATTTACCTTAACTCTTTGCCTAATTGTCCTAGGTAGTAAGTAATATAGACACTGAGTTAAAGTGTCAAGAGCTAGACTCTAGGTTTGGGGGAGATATATGTGAGAGCAGCGTGCTTTAAAGACGGCTTCGTTGGCAATAACTTTTGTTTGGGGCTAGGAATGACTTCGTATAAAATGCTTTCTGTATTTGTAGGGAAGAGTACCTTTTGTCTCTGGACTGGCAGAAACTTTTCTAAAGATCTCCAAACAATTCCCTTTAAAAATGAGGTAGACAAAATTTTTTGAAAGGAAGAAACGTGGGGAAAAGTAGAGATCCTGGTTACATTGTGAAAAACCCTCCTAATACAGTGTAGGAAACAAGTCTGATTTAGGTCTTAATCTTAAACTTACCAGTCTTCTCAAATTCAAACCACCTTTAATAATACAATAAGCCAAACTCTAATAAATCTTAGTGTCACCTGGATTTTGTGTGCCATAAAATATTGGCCTTTTTTCCTTTCCTCTGAGTATATGGAAAAATAGGCCAGAATTTTCCATTTTATAAAGTTTTATCTTGTTCATTAAATTTGCAGTCTCCTTGTTATCTTGACTGAAATCATAGGACAAAAGTTACAATACCATTTAAATATATTTCAAAAGCCCACTCAGTTAACCATTCATCCCCAAAAGAGAAATGGATGTGATTTGACAAGTTTATTTACTTGAGGGTCAAGCACAGGAAGCAAATTTACAGTAACCCAACTCATGAGAAAACATTTGGTCCTAAAAGTCGAACTAGAACGTTAAACATGTTTAAAACAGTAACTTTCCATTTGTTGGAGAGGAAGACAAACAACCTTCCCTTACTATAGAATATATATCATTTAAAATCATCGGCCACTTAAAAAATCCCCTTGTGTTTCTGTCATTTATGTTGTATCCTCTGGGAAGCTCTTATAAAAATGACCTGTTGAATCTGGAAACAACAGGTCCTTCTTCTTAGCACAAAGGCAGCTCTGTTTTTTCCATCAAGGACACAAGAAAGAAGTGATTAAAGACCCCTAAAACTCTTATCTATAGCAGTTTGCATTGTATGTGGCCTGGTACAGGGCTATAAGTGAACACATTTCAAGCCGACTGCCCAAAAACATCTAAGACAATGTTGGACTCTGAGGTGCTATTAAAATATGGTGAAACATTTAGTACTAAAACCCTTTATTTTCATTTTGCTATATAGCCTTTATTTCCACAAAGTAGGACTGTTTCTTCCTCTTCCAGAAATGAGTATTTGGGGGCACAGTATATCCACAGAGCTGGATCTTATTTTCCGTTGACCTTTCTGAGCTTGTGTAAGAGAAGGAAGGTTTCAAGGTAACTAGAAACACAAGTATTTTTAAAAAAAAAAAAAAAAAGGAAAGGAAAAAAAGAAGAAAAAGTCATGAACTTTTAGGCTGCTGTCTCGTTTGGAAACTGGAGGCATGCTATAAAGTAAATATCTCCTTGGATTGTTTACTTCGGTAGAGGAGTTTTATAAAGCAATTTATGGTGGTTACAAAAATAGCTGCACAGTAGACTTCATGGTTTGGTGAATTTAATTTTCTAAGTGTTGGAGCAGTGTCTTTGTTTTACCATTTGCAGTGGTCTTTTATTGAACGCATAAATTTAAGTTTAAATCAATTACGTGGAAAACTATTTAAGAAGTCCAACCTATGGGGCCTGGATTATGAGATTATTTAATGAAACTTTGCTACAGTTCTCTTTCATCTCGGCCCTGAACTTGGAGTTAGATGTTTGTGAAAAAGACTGAGGATTTACTTACCAATGACAAAAAATCACACAGAATGGCATTTAACTATTAGGCACGTTTTAGCTGCTTGTGTTTAGCCAGTATTTTAGGTAAAGGGATTCGGTAAGACCTTCTTGAGTCAGCTCAAAAATTGTAATATAGGGTTTCTAACACACATTTATGAGCAGACACACACACACACACACACACACACACACACACGAACAGAAAGAAAACCCTAGTATTTGAACCCTGAAGTGAATTATAGAAGAGAAAAAAATTTGTACAATATTTTTTACATGCTCATTGGCATGGGAGAATCATAATGTCTAGCCTTGTTTCTTCGCCCAGTGAAAATTCTCTCAATTTGCCGTAATAGTTTGTTGTGGCAGCGCCCCCTACCGTCCTGACAATGGGACAAATCTGTTGCTACTGCGAAGTTGGGAGAAAATCTCTTGGAAACTGAGTTTGAGAGTTAAAAATGCCTGTTGTTAGGATGTGTCAATAAATTTATCTCTCTGGGAAAAAAATTAAAAGTACTTTATAAACTACATCCCAAGAACAGTGTAACCAGTGGTTTCTTCGTTTGGACTAATGTGTAGTAAAGGCCAAGAAAACAAATTTATTTAAAATCTCCAAAAAGGAAGTTATTCTTACTGATTTAAAAATGTCCTAATATTACTCTAAAATAAATGAAATAAATGAACATTTTAATATGCCTGGAAATTCGTTGATGATAATTTAGGACGCTTCAGCGGACTTTTCTGGATATGAAACTCCGCTCTGATGGCGTTTAAAAAAACATTCCACATTACTTAATTTAGCTGACATGATATCAGGACAACAAATGTCTGTGGCTTGCGTGTCACAGGAAAGCAGTCCTTCACTGTGAGCTGTCTCCATTTCCGTCGGATGTGTGATGGGTTCCTCAAGAAAAGGGGGGAATTGTTTCATTACCTTCAGAACTTTGAGATCTTTTCTGGAAGTTAAGACCAAATGCGTGTGCTGTGGTTCAAGAGCAGGTGACCTTGGAATTCTAAAGGAAGCCCCCTCCCCTACTCTGCCTGTATATCTGCACCAGCTGGAGGCCATGGTTATTTTTCTCCTAAGACAAAAGATAACTGTTTATAAAGTACTTAAAGATACGTGTATGCTTATATATACTATGTACATATATATATATTTATATATGTATATGAATATAAACGTTTGGATTCTGTAACACTTCAGTCTTTTATTTGGGGACAAGATAGTAAGTGTTCATCATCTAATCTCTTGTGCTAGCATGTATCTTTCCTATATTTTGACTCATTTTCTTTAGTGAGACTGGGTGATTTCCCCAGAGAAGAATGTCGCTAAACTTATTTTACTCTGTAGCATCCAGAAAGATCAAAGATTACTCAGCTTGGAGTTTAGGAGTTGGTCCTTTCCGTGGCTTCGTCAGAATGTGAAGTTTTCTGGCCCTTCCTGATCACTGCCTTGTTTATCAAGTCCACGGGAGAGGCAGGCTGAGCAGAGGCACTTCCGGTTCCTATCGGGGGTGATCGGCATCTTGGAGCAGCTGGGAGCAGCTGCAGAGTACCTCCCTGCGTACTTTCCCAGCCTCCTGAGCCACCAGCCCTTCTACATGAAGGGTTGGAAGTGAAATTCGAGCCAAGGGAGTCTGGCCACCCATGCAAGGTCCTGGGGACTGACATCCAAAGGGGCTCTGTGTCCTCAGAGGGAAGCGAAGGACCTTGGAAGGGATAAGAGGTGGGGGGGGGGGGGCGGCGGATCGTGGAGAAGCAGCTTTGGGCCCTGAGTCTAGGGTACATGTCTGTGGTGGGGGGAGGGGAGGGCCCAATTTCTTTCATGCATTTGCTCCCTGGAGCCCTCAGTGACTGGACACTCTCCATCAACTGAGAGGTGCAAAGAACCCCTTTGAGAAGCTACATGCTGCCATTTTGTTTGCCCTGGGTTCATCTCCCCAGTAGACCAACCCAGCAAGACAAGTCCAACAGTCTCATTTCTGTGTGTGTGTGTGGCGCACGAGGTTCATGCATGAACCCATACACACATGTATGCAAGAGCAGGTACCCAGTAGGTGGGGAAAGTGATAGAATTGATAACAGAAAAGTTACTTAGTGGTTGGGGAACTTCTGAGCAGCATCAGACACCCAGGTGGAGCAAGGTCTAGGATTATTGAGTCCGGGCATTAAAAACAACAATAGCAAAACCATGTTTGGTGTAGCCTGGAATTGGAATACCTTGTGTGAGTGATTATGCCCTTGTAGTGATGAGGTTTACCAGGTGCTGATGTAGTGTGTGTGGAATGCATAGCCAAGTAGGAGCGAAAACCCTCCGCAATATTGGAATCTTCTGCCTTCCTCTTAAAAAAAATCAAGAAACGCTCTGGCCAAAATATTTGTCTCATAGAATTTCTGTTGATTGGCCCAGAAAGAGTACGTGCCAAATCTGTATTCTGGAGGGGTCATGAGAACAAAATAAGCCCGTGCAATTAATGGCAACAGGGACTGACCTTACACAGACCAGATGCTCACATCATAGTAGGAGAGTGTCACAGAGCAAACAAACTGACGTGGTATGAACAGCAAAGGCCTGCTATCTCTACGGGATGCATTTGAAGGACTGCACATCACGATTACCATCAGCCACATTGCTGCGCTGGGTTGGGAACTTGACAGACGTAGCGATTTCCCTCAGGGGCACGTCTTCCTCCCCCAGGGAACAGGAACTGGGCTGATAAAGAGCATCCTTTCTCCGT